GCTAATAGATTTTGAGTTCTCGCCACTGCATAAGGTAAAAATGTAATATATTAGTTATCACACACTGATCGACTCTAATCGAAAACACGAAGGAAAAAACCGTAATTGAATTTTCACAAGTGAGTGCGTTAGAAGGTTAGGTTCCTCTTGCACCCACCAGACCAAATTCTGTTCTCAGCTTAACAGTTGCAAAATTTGGCGTCTCCCATTTGGACATGACTGATAAATTATACGCTCGAATAAAGGCTGAAAGTAGCAATTAAGTCCATTAAAAACGCGAAAAAAAAAACAACCAGGAAGGGCTACCTAGAATGCGCTACATCCTTGTCCGCTGTTTGTTACATAAATCTTCCGCATGTTCCCCATTCAAATGATTTATGTTGATGGCGCTTTTGTTTTGACTGTTAAGCCTGCTAATTTTACCATATGGGTGATTAGTGTGCAAATCGTTCTTCATTGAACGTTTCGTCTATTGTTCGGGCCGCTTTTCTTCTTCAAGGCAGTCGTAATTATGTGTCCGATTGATTGATTGAAATATTTAGGTCTGAAAGAATGTTCTGAAAAGTGTTTGCAATTTGAATTGCATCAGATTTCCAACAGAGTTGAGGAGAACCACACATAGCATGAAACACCTTCAAATCGTTCACCCTCCATGTGAAAATGGTTGTTTAAATTGATATTCTAGCACTTTTCCTCCGCAACTAGCAATTATGGTGTAATGTTAAAAAAACTAAAAAACCACACAGAACTTGTCCCTGATAAATAAATGGTGGCATTTTTCAATCTAGGAACTTGTAAGGAAAGAAGCCTACGGCAGTAATTGTTGGCTCGATGTATAATTAAACAGCGTTATCATTACTTAAACTGAATTGTGAGTTAAGTACAAGTGGGTACTCAATCTAGCAGAATGATAAATGGCATAGGAATTATATGGGCTTGGTTAAAAATTGCTTGGGAGCTTTTAACACGATGACAGATTGTTTCAGCTTTTAATCAGCATTATTCGAAAAAACTATATGGCTTTGATTCACTTGAAAACCCATTTGAATTAGCTGCAATTTTTATCAACGTGTTTGTAAAAACGCAAAAATCACTTAAGTAAATCCACCTGACTTCTGACTGCCTTAGAAAATGGACATAATGCTCAAGTCATGGCTAAGCAATTACAGCCTTAACTTTGGAAGAAATTAGCTAAAGCAGGAAACGTATTATGCAATATGTTGTTTTATTAATGACTATTGCTCTACGAACGGCAAAAATAGGCTGTTAAACCAACTCTTCGGATATTAATGAAAAATCATTTGAATCATTCAACATCAATTTCCGCGACATGCTTCGGTTTCATTCTTTTCAAAGTGCTGATTAGTGGATGATTGCCCAATTGATCAAAACCGCTAAACGAAAATCGGCCTGGCGCAGTGAAAAAACCGAAATTCACTTTCTCTTTGCCAAAAAAAAAAACGTCTTGAAACTATCTCAAGTGCGTTTCCTGCTTCAAGTGCCTGGAAATATGGAAGCTTAGATACATTACGCTTAGCAGTTTGTTACCCAATGAACTTGTCTTTACCTTGACGATATTGTAATTTCGTTTTTCATAGATAACGTAATTTTTGCAACCGAACCCTTTTATTCTAATTTCTCTTTCGCTGTCTCTAGGTGAGATACTTCATGGTTTCCGCAGGCAAATAAATTCAGCCTTAGCTTTAAGGGCAAAAGTCAAGAAACTTTACAGGATTTTTTTAAACATCGAGATCAAGGAATTGTGGAAAAAAGAGCGAAGACACTTTCAATATTTCATTAACAGAGGTTCAAGTAAACAAAATTCAGTCAAAGGCTGTAAGCTTTGAAGAAAATAGTGAAAGGTATGTTGAACGGTCCCCAAATAACCAGCTTGAAATTGGGTTTTTAAAAAAAAGTTTGGAAATTAAATTTTGGGTTTAAAAATGAAAACTTGAAGAGTGGAAGTGTCGTGAGCCGGGTTAGCTGGTCTTAAAAAAATCCCTAGATCCATTTTTATAAAATTAAAGTTCGATATCCACTTTTCAGTCTTCAAACAGTTCAGTCAAGCTGCGATTCTAATTATTTATGGTATTAAAGACAGCAGTGAAGAAACTTTAGAAGATTTCACTAACCCATCGCAAAGAAACTAGGAACTTTATAAGTTTTGCATATAGGAAATTTTTGAAAGTGAGGAAACTTTGGAAGATTTTATTAAATAAGCGCAGAACGGAAATGAACCCCATCAGGAAACTGCCATTTTTTAGGGAAAAAGTCACAAAATTTTAGACAAAATCGTTGAATCAGCGCAAGATAGAAACAAAATAAAGTTTACGCCATCCAAGAAAAAGAAAATAAACTTTGAAAGGTTTATTAAATGAGCACTGAATGAATCATAAAACAAGTAAAAACAATTGAAGCTTTAGAGACACAATTTTTGGCACATTTCATTTAACAAGCGCAAAATGAAGCCAATAACATGAGCTAAAAAGCTCTGAAGCAGCTTTAGAAATAAAAATGAACAAAACTTTTGAAGCTTTTATGAATTTACCGCAAATAAACCAGGAACACCATCAGAACAGTGTAAGCGTTCAAGCAAACCACTTCTGAAGATGCAAGCCACTCGTGCTTGCGAAACGTCAAGAAGAAATACTACCGAACGACGGCCTAAAAACCCGAAAAACCCATTAGTTTCAAGGAATGGCCTCGAAGGTCTATCTCTTTTGACAAACCAGGAAGTTTGTAGCTTTAATGTCAAACGTTAAGAAACTGTATAAAAAATATAAATCAAAAGTTTACGAAATTTGGACTCTTAATTAGAAAAATGAAAAACCTTTAGAAGCTTTTGGCAAATCAATCAAGGAAATTGCAGTTTAAATAGAAAAGTGGCAAAAGCATGAAAGAAGCCCATCAATCAGCGCAAAATAGAAACAAAATCAAGCTCGAAACTTGAGGCTTTAAAGAAAAATGTAAAAAATCCTTGAAATGTTTGCTGAATTTGCACTGAATGAAAACTCAAAGCAAATAAAAGAATTTGTAGCATTAAACAAGACAGGAGGAAACTCTGGAACATTTCATTAAGCAAGCAAAAAACTGTGGAAATCATGAAAATACCAGCTTTAAAAATTACAATAATTCACAATTCACCACAAAAAAACAGCAACTTTGCAACTTTAAAGACAAAAGTATGAAAATTTGCAAGATTCTATTGAATTTGCGCAAAAGCTAAATTAAAATAGCGGAACATTTGCGACTTTAAAGAGTGAATATGAAAAGTTTGGAGTATTTTATCAACTTAGCGCGAAACGTAAATGAAAGCGGTCAGGAACTTGCAAGTTCAAAGAAGAAAGCGCTGAAATTTTACAATGCGTCAATGAATCAGCGCTATGTAGAAAGAAAATAAAGATAGAAACTTGACGTTTTGAAAAAAGGTTCAAAAGTTCCAGGCTTTTTAAATTAAGAATAGGCTTCAATGCTTTCTAAATTTTAACCATGGAATTAAATTTCAAAAATTAAATGAGCCCACAAATAACAACACTTAAGCCTTGCTTAAAGAGGAAAATGAGTAAATTTTGAAGCATTTCATTAAATCAACATAAAATAAAAACGGAAACCACAAAACAAGCAGCGTTAAAGAAAAAGTAAAATAACTTTAGAAAATTACATTAATTCGTCACAAATAAATCAGGAACTTGATCGACAAACGCAAAAATGGGAGCACAATAAACTTGATGCTTTCAAGAAAAAAATAAAGAAGTAGTTTTATTTGTATAAAATAAATGAGAATCGTTGCAAAATTTCCCCAGTCCGCTTCAAATAAAAAATGTGAAGTTAAAGGCACAACTGAAGAAACTTTCAAAAATGTCAATGAAATACTACGTAAAAAAGAAAAATAAAGTAAATGGCTTAAAACACAAGAGAAAACAAAACGTCGTTAGATCAAAGGAGTTGGGCTTTTGCGGCCATGGCATAAAACTGGTTGATTTTCCGCCGTTTCTCGCCGAAAAAACTTTCATTAAATACAGAAAATTTCGAATAAATGAGGGAATAAAATAAAATTATTAGAATTGAAGGAGATTTGCTCAATTCCATTAATCAGTTTGAAATAGACAGTCATACACGGTAAAAGTGAAGCAGCTTTGAAAACTTCTAAAAAGCCATTCCAAATAAATGTAAACATTTTGAAGAAGCATAGGAAATTGTTGAAAAATACCATTGAATGAGCCAGAAATAAGACAAAAATTATGTTAATTTTATAAGTGAAAACACTCTTCCAAAATATGAAAACAGGCGAACTTCGCACCTAAACAAATCGCAATAAATTCATTTAAAACAAGAATACCGCTCAGATGCTTTGTCTTTGGCTTACGCTCATAAAAATCTACACGGTTTACTGCGAAATTAAAATTCCATAAGCACTTTTGTCGGATTTGCAAAGCCACTTGTGCAATTTAACAGGCGTTTCATGGGAAAAAAATGTAATCACTCATTCACGAGTTGCATTAACAATGTCTTGTCTGAAACAATCGAATTAACGTGATTAGAACGATTATCTGTATTGTCACCTTTTGACTAGATGTGGGAACGTTTGAATAGTTTTATTCTAATTTGCGTCCCTTCTGGTCTATTTAAAGGAACTTGAAATAAAAATCCATTTGTTAGCACTTTGAAGAGGTTTGAGCTGTTTGTTATTCATAGGTAGGTAATGAAATCATTTCGTAACACTGCACATTTCAGTAATCTCGATGTTCTAACACAATTTGCTCCGTGAGAATCCGACAGCAGCAACAAAAATGATGCTCCAGTTAATTAGTTAATGAATTGGCGGTAGAAAGAGTTACGCAAACCGTGGCAAACATTCACCGGGTGCCGAGACTGCAACGTGCACACATAGCGTACCAAACAATACAACAACTATGCCCACTGAATATTCCTATGACCTAGAGAGAAAACAGTACTCGGGAGTACCCAGTCTTCGCGAAGTCTTTGGCTTTGCTTCAGTCGCCGTGTAGACATCAATACGCCTAGTTCTCCTTCTTCATTCACCTCAGTTGGCGTGTCATTGTGCTTCCCCTCGTCGTTTCTTCCGGTGAGTACCTTGCCCTTTTTCTTCTCGATCGACTCCCCACTCGCGTTCCCCCATCTCAATCAATTGCGAACCATCGGCGACAGTGCGGAAGCGTCTGCCCTTTTGATCCCACTTATCCGCTTTCTTCTCCCTCTAGCTCGGCCTGTGTCATAATCTCGGGGGCATTCAACATATTCGCTGAGATCGATGAAGAAAGTGGCCCGGTTTGGTGGCACCGGAACAGAAGAATGCGGAGATCACGACAATCGATCCAAAGATCACACTTTTACTGCCTCAATCAAACATCTGCTCGATTTCATTATTTATTCAACTGGTCGATGATTTCCTGTTAATAATTTTGTTCCAGATGCATAACTTTATTCTATGGCCTTTTTTCAAAGCAAGATTCAGTGCTTTAGAGTCTTTCTTATTTTAGCTTCAAATGAAGCGGGTTTTAACGGACGTTTGAATATTTGCCAAAGCTCGGCTCCTTGAGGATTTTGGGGTGTTTTTAGAGCTGGTTTTGCTATTTCGGGTCTTTACATTTAGAAACATTCGTGCAAAGCTTCGTATTTTTATCTTCATCGGAAGGGCACAGATTTTAATTTTTTTCGACTACTTTTGGCAAATTTGCACTTTTCCAACTAGAACTCACATTAAAACCCTGCATGCATTTTGTACAAAAAGTACCCTTGAAGAATTCTTGAACTTCTTCACCAAAGTTCAAAGCTTGTTTTGGATTTCCTCCAAATAATCCAGCTCTTCTTTTATTTCTCTTGACTCTTCCTGAAGATTTGAAAAAATCAAACAGCTTCTCAATACAAACTGTTGCCATTTCCATGCCATTTAGTTCGCAAAGGAAAAATATAGTCTCATTTCCCAGTTTCTTATGTGGCACATTTTCTAAGTTAAGATTGCAATCATTGATCGACAAAATGTTATTCCTACATGCATTGAGCAACTAGACAACGTTAATCAGCAAGTCATTGAAATTGCAGATCGAGTTTTAGAAAAATCTGTGTTTTTTTAGTGATTGCGGCAGAAATGATACAGTGACCTTTAAATCGAACATATCCGTGACACTTTGATAACTTTAATTAAACCGCCTAAAAGTTCCCGTCGGTGTTTTAATAATCGAATTTCATGCGTGAAATGCAGCATAAAAATTGGTTTATTTTTGGACCTCCGGGAAAAAAATACAAGCTAATACTTGCTGAGTAACTCAAGAGACATTCCATCCAGGCTTGGTTTCGATAATTATTATATTTCCAATAAGGGAATAAATTGCAGGTTTACGCCAGCCATTCTAATGCAAAGAATGCCATTTTTGGGTAGTGGCCAGTAAACGCCGTAACTGTAACGCAACAATGAATAAAACAAACATAAACGAAGGCAAAAAATTACAGAGTTTTTCATCGCACTAAAACTGTTGGCTAATTAGACATTCTGCTGCCCGTTTGGAAACACGTGAGATATTGGAAAATAGTAGTTTAGAATGGCATAATTTTTTTGCTGACTTAATAGTCACTAATTATTCCAGTGTTGGTTTCTTCAATAAAAAATAATTAGTTTTATGATTACCGCTGTTGTGCTTATGTCGGTTTATTGCCAGTGTTTACCGTTCTTTGTGTTAAGCTTTGTTGCCTTTTTCATAAATAAGCTGCTATATTATTACTTGTAATTAGTAGTTTCTTCCACTATTATCATGGTTTGTGTTCACTACTATCTCCTGCTTTTTTTCGTTCAGCGTAACTTAGTTTTCTTTGGTATTTTGCGGGTTTTTTGCTGCCTGCGTATGCGTTTTAATGTTTTCCATATAATTTTCTTTTATTTTTATAGCATTTCCATCCCTGCTTTTGTCTTAGAAATATCACAAACTATTTCTCCAGAGAGTTTGTTAAACGCTTTTTCTGTGCCCTTAAAAGTGAAAGTTTATCTTACTTTAGTTTACTCTTGTTTATCACTTTAAATTCTGCCGTTAATTTATGAAAACTTGATTGTTTTTATTGTGGAGTTTTTGCCCTTTACCTACGTTGTCCAATTGCTGCAGTTGCACATTGTTTTATTGTGATTTCCTTCTTTACTTCGACCTGACTTTGTGCCTGACAGTTATGTTGAATTTTTTGTTACATTTTCATTAAATTTCTACTATAGTTCTTTCTGATTTCCATTTGATACCAAATATGTGATTTTAAATACTATTTTCGCGTTTAAATCGGGTATGTGAATGTTTTTGTTCGATTGTGTCTCAGTCTTTGCTCAATTTTGTGCTGATTAATTTTCTCAGATGCATTTATCTGCGATTTGTTTTAGGAGTTATTGAAGCCTTTAATCTTTCCTTTTAAAAAATCACTTCAATCGTATAAGAGTTCTTGCTGTTCCCATAGCGAATTATTTATACTCAGCAGACTTTCTTCTTGTGTTCATTCTAAATTTCGTTGTTATTTAATCCAAACGTGGTTATTTATCATTGTGGAATTTTTTGGCTTTGTCTACTTACTCTGTTTTAAGCGTTTGATCAGTATAATTGATTGCTATTTTCTTCTTTGCTTTAAGTCGACTTTTTGTTTCACTGTTCCTTTCAATATCTTGATAGGTTTTCCTCCTTTATCCTTTTTGGGTTCTGTTGTTTCAACCATCACAGTGTCTGCTTAATGTTGCTTATTTATCTGCTTATTCCACATGCTTCTTTATCGGTTTTTCCTGTTACAGTTTTAGATAATTTCCATAGGTATTCGAATTGCATTTTGTCTTGGGAATTTGATTTTGAAAAGTAATCATTTTTCTGTTGTGGTTCCTTATATCTTCTTGCCGTATTTTTATTTTCTAGTTGTCTAATATTACGATGATTTTAATTATGTTTCTACATTTATTTCTGATTAAGTCAAGCTCAATTTTTTGTAACTTTCTCTGTCGAGTTCTCTTCAACGTTTGTTTCTTTCGATTGATCGTCATCAACAAATCCAGTGCCGTTTAGTTTAGGCTGTATTAATATTATATATTTGACAATATTATTAGTAATATAAATTTTTCAAATGTTCACTTTGAGAATAAACTGTCGATTGAGAGAATTTTTCTGAAATTATTCAGCTGTTACAATGCCATGTTATGTTAGAAGAACTGTTAATCAGATTCGCTAGAATCAGGCCGACGTTTTTAAACCCAAATACAACTAAATCGGACTGTTACTTAGTTATGCATTCAACGCATGATTTGGCGTTGAATAATGCTAATAAAGCGTCGATTTTGTCTTTGCCAGAATTTTTCGTTTTTCGTTGTCAATAAAAAGTGAAAAAATCGGTGGAACCACCAGCCTTCAATGTATTTGCTTGCAATATTGTCAAAACGTTATCGAAATTTTCAATTAGCGCCGAATTGAAACCGTAATAATCACTGTTGGTTGCTTAAGATATGCAAATAAAATTAGGTTTCAACACATGGATAATAACATGCATTTGGCAATATTCATGTGGCTCTGCGCAAAATTCCTGATGCCCATTCGCGATAAGGAAATTATTTTCCGACGATATTTCTACATCTATTGCCATTTCACGCCGATAGACTCTTGGAGATTTTATCCAAAGTGAAGCAACGAGAATATACAATTTTTTATTCTTCAAAACTGTACGGATACAATCAAGTATTGCCAGGCCAGTTGGATTTTTAGCGAGCATTCTTTGACAAAAACGCAAAAAGACTACATAGAAAACCACAGTAAAGCAATTCTTCTGGTTTCTTTTGCCACTTTACATCATCGCGAAATTTATTAAATTAATATCACACGATCTATTAGTTTTTGCTGGTAAATAACGTGCAGGAACTCCTTAAAAGTGACATATTTTGTCTCGGTTTTTCAGTTTAGGCATTGTTTTTGGCCAACCGAGTGAAACGGTGTTTATCAAAAATTCAAGGTTTGGCCTCCAGTTCGTTATTTTCATGTCTTCTTCATTGTTTATCTAAAATTTATATAAAATGTTTAACTGACTTTATGTGTTTGAACTTTTGAGCAAAACACATTTGAAGATGTAAGCCACTTTCTTCTTGACGATTCGCAAGCAACATGAAGATGGATGTAAGCAGTTCAGGCTTACATCTTCACAGTACGCAGTTCAGCAAATACGTTTGAAGCTGGTCCTCGGACTATGTTGAATGAACTTCCGTTGTTTTCCACTCACTTTAGAACTAGCTGCATTTTTTCTGCTAAATGCTACCGTATGGCTAAATTAACGTTTAATGACTGGCGCTTTTCACCATCAATTTCTGGTTTTTTTGTTCAATTTCAGCGCTGCTGCGTTCACCGTATGTTCGTACATATATAAAAGATATATTTAATTTAATTTTCCAACTATTCACTACTTGATGTTATTAAATGAAATGGCCGTGTTCTATTACCTGACTGAATTCGTATATTTTTAATTATTGTTGCCAGCGGCCAATGCGCTTTTGTGCTCCGTTTTAGCCGCTATTAATAACGCATATTAAACTTATGTTTCTATGCATGTTTGAACCTAATTGAACGAAACCGAAATATTTGCTTGACTGTTTCCAGATTTCTCGTTGTGTTTTTTATTATTGTATGACAAACACATTTTTTATGGATTTGCAGTTTGAATTTAATCGAATACAGAGCTGTGTTTTGAATTTTATTTAATTTTTAATCAGCCATCGAATATTCAGGAAACCCAGCAAATTAAACTGCTATTATTTGGGATAAATCAACAGCGAATTTATTTTAAAAAAGAGCTTTTGTGTTTTGTGCTTTGAATCAAGTTTTCAGTTAAAAACGTTTTGAACAAAATTTTGAAATAAAATAAAGTTGCAAATTTAAGCGTGTTTGCAAGATGAATAAAGTCCACGAAAAACTCGCCAGCTTTTACTTTGCCATGTATTTTAATGTTCAATGTATAATTAAGACACTTAAACAATCTTAAATCAAGAACCGAATAAAGATAAATGAAGACAACGTTTTATTCCACTGTTAGCAGTTAACTGAATCCAATTGTAAACATTATTTTAATGTTGTTAGTTAATTATCTTGGAGAAAACGTGAAGTAACTTTCCCCCTCATGCAATTAAACCCTCATACAAACATCCCTGGGAAGATGATAAATTCCTTGCGCAGAATAACTGTGTAAAGCTGCTATATTAAGTGGCTTTTCAGCTCGACTTTAACAAATGCCCGGCCATTGTTAATGTTGTCAAATTTCGCAAATTTACTTTCATCATAGCAGAGGATTTTTCTCGGGGCCATTGTGAAGGGAGGTAATTGCTGCGCAGCAGATTTTTGTAATAAACATTTATCAGGTGATATAAAGAGGCCCATTAAGCGCAAGTGGGGTCCCGAAAAAAAAACGGAAAAAAAGCTTTGCCCACTAATCACATTATTGCATGTTCAGCTGATCAAACATTGAGAATTGTCCAAGTGTACCATGAACTTAAAAAAAGCTCGCAGCTAATGATGTGCTCATGATTGCTAATGATTTTGCCCACAACTAATCAAGTTCACAGTTCAATCCTTGTGTGGCATTTCGCAATTGTTGATGATGGCTTATATTGATGTAAACGTGCAATAAACGACCTCCACTAACTAATCCACAAAAAGTTCATTGTCTGTTTTTTTTTGTTGGGGACATTTCACGATGTGAGAATATGCCCATGAAGAATGTGAATTTGTTGAAGTTTCAGCTGCAAATATAAAGCAGAGCTTGACCCAAAAAAAGCTTGATTACAAAGGACCGAAATAGCGCAATTGGTGCGCGGGACACGCACCAACCCGGGCAAGTTCTTGCAATGTTTGAGTTAATAAAATTGAAAATATTCCCAAAAGATCTAGCGGCGCTTTAGTTTAGGATTAAGGCAATTTAGCGACCCGACTGACCTTCACAAGAACGGTTTTCGACCTTTTTTCCTTCCAGGACTGTGAGCTTAAACAGCTTTAAAATGTCCACTTTACCTGCTGATATTGATTCGGTGTGTTTCTGTTGCAGGTTTGTCGAGACGATTGCCGCTTGATTACAAAGGTAAGTTTGGATTAATTTATTTAATTTTTTTTGCGGAGAAAATTGCGGAAATTAATGTTAATTGCAATTAATTTCAATGACATTTGACGCTTTTATTCAATATTGAAGATTTCCTGTCCATAAGGAGCTGTACCATATTTTTCGTTTTCCCCCTTTCGGTCACTCAGGACATTTTTTTTGAAGCAGCCAAAGTGAATTTGCCATGTAACTTTTCCATATCTAACTGCCTGTGAAGGAATAGTTCAACATAACATAAAAAAAATTCACAGTTTCGATTTTTTCGAAATTTTACATTTTATTTTTTTTCTCAAACACGCAGCTTCCGAACAAAAACTTTTAACAAAATCTCGGGATGGTCGAGCAGTCTCCACAGGTATTTTCGCTGCGTTCCAGCTCGAGCGGGTTCGAGAAAAGCGAGAAAATGTGGTTTTCAAAAAACTGTAAATATCTCCACAACCAGACGAGCTGGAATGAACCTAAACCGAAACGCCAGTCGATAGCTCGTGCTAAGCTCTATGAAGCAGCTAGGAATCACTTTTTCGCCAGGATCAATAATAAGCGAGCAATTRCCAATTTTCCAAAATAATGAAACATATTTGGGAACATTTTCGACATTTTCCCAAAATTTCTTTTATTATAATTACAATTAAAAAGGAGCCCATTACACTCAAAAAATAATTTATTGCTACGGAAAAAATTCTCCTGAGGTATAGGACCGATGTCATTTCGTCCCACCACGAGTGAAGTCTTACAGTTTCGGAAAAATTCAAACTTTGTCCATTTTGCTCCCTTACTTAAAAATCTTCCACACTAAAGGACGCAGGAAGTTGCGTTTTTTACCATCTTCAGTGGACACTTGACCCGATAGGTGCTGCGACAGTTTCACAATAAAAAATCCACTAGAAACCTGATTTTGGTCGGCTTTGCAAATGTGACTCATAAAATTGAAGTCGCCAGTTAACTGCGCTCTGTTACTGAAAAATGCTCATTTCTCAACCTGCATCAAGCAGTAACGTGAAACTTTCACCATCTGTAGGAGACGCTTGATTCTACAGTTCCCATCACTTTTCATGAGCACGGATTTCCTATATCATTTCGGAAAAAAATGAGATTGAAGTTAGAGAGACTGAAACTGCCAACCACATTGTTTGCACACTTATTTGTCCCAAACTCCGCCACTGCTAAGTAAACACGGCCGAATTTTTTCGGTTTTAGGCCAATTTTCTTCAAAATCGAATTTTTTTTTGAAAAATACAATTTTTGCCAATTTTTGACTATGGATTCGCTTTGACTAAGCCGCATCAATTCTACCCACTTTGCTCCAAAATTTGACCCTTAAAATTGCCTGAACCTCTGCATTTTATTTTTTGCGCCCAAACCAAGCTTTCAATCGACAAAAGTGATTATTGATAAAAAGTGCGAAATCCTGAAAGCTATCAAACGGCGTATTTTGCAATCGTCCCCCGTGGACGGTTAAAGAAAAAAATTCCAAAAACGTGTTTTTGCAGAAACGACCAATAACTCCCAAAGAAAGTCCCATAGAAAACTTTTAAAAGGCACAACACTGGACAAACAGCGGTAAGACACATTAACAAGTTGTTGGTACTCACTTTTTTGAAGAAATCAACAATAAGCGGACTACGACCGACACTTTGCATGTTTTTCYATAAGAAATAAACTGTAAAGAAAAWACTTCGGAAAAACATTTTTTGGAATTTTTTCCCAAAAATGTTCCTRGTCAAAAATCTGTAAAATTGCCTYAATTTTTGCATTTTAYTGTTTTGCCCCCAAACCAAGCCTCCAATCGAAAAATCGAAAAAAGTTGCTCTTGATAAAAGRTCCAAATCCTCAAAGCTCAAAGACAAAATTATTCTAGAAGTGAAAACCAGTGCATTTAAGGCTATGCACCCGAAYATTTGAAAGAATAYATTTTTTTGCCTGCAGAAGCTACTATWTTAAATTGYGGYTTTAGTTTTTTTATTTTAGTTTATAATTCAAATATTTACACATTAAATACTGCTAATAACAATCAGTTAGAATTSAGGTCAAAATCTGTATTTAACCGTATTTTTGGGTTYATTTTTTCGTGTTACTTCGGTAAGTCAATACAAAAAGCTGTTTTTATTGCATAAAAGCACTTGAAAAAGCTACCTGTTTTATCTGAAGAAAATTCTAAAGCATACGAAAATAAGCGCTATGTAATTTGGAAGAACCCGTTGTATAAAATGCGCCTCGTAAAATCCAAAAATCTGCACATGCGAGCAGCGTAACCTACAACCCTGGTTGCCATCTATCTACTTCTRCCAAAAAAGKATCCCTAAAACCCATATTTTTTAGCYTTTCTCACCTTTAGGCACTTTGGCCTGGGGTCTTATCAACGTTAGTAAARGCAAAAAATCGAAAYTTATAGCAGAAAAACAGTGATAATTCGAGGATAATTGAAGATATGTTCGCAGGAGAACACCCCTATTTTGACTTGATTTAGACTATTTAATGCTGAAAAAGTGGGCGAGATAAGACGAAATTATAAATCTGAGCAATACAAAAACCGGCCGATYACAGCGTATTTCSCAACAGAAAAACAACGCAAATTGATTCRAAATAYTTTTCAAGGCAATAAAAAGTGTAGTTYACAGGAGAACGACAYTGATTTTGTAGAAAAAACTTGAAAAYACCCATACAGAATCGAGAAACTCTCCCTCCTCATTGTTTTTCGTCGAAAAAACAATATAATAAAATATAATTCAACAATATGGGACTAAARGTTCTAAAACTATATGGCAACCAAGGGCAAGTAATGCCAAACTTACCGAAGGCTCCTTCTTGCCACCTGGGARGAAAGAAAAACATGTGATTAGTATATTAGAGTAAGTCTGTCCAAAGCCAGAAAAATTGGAAATGATTAAAGCAAAAAGTGRGAAATGTATTAAATGCATAAAACTTAGGTTGCATTTCGAAAAACTAGAATAACTTGAAGACAAGAARCTCCAGACTTACCAGCTTTCTGCAAGCTGGCGTCCATCCTCCATTTTGCACCATGAATCGTCCAAAAGWTCACACTACACTTGAACACACAATGAACATGAATTTCGAATTAAAAATTTCCTYAAGGGTCACAATGATTCTAAATTTTCCATCTAAAAGCGCGATTCACTCAAAGGACTGGAGACCGATTTTGCCCAATATCTGAATAAACTGAATATTCGAAGCAACATAATGATATAATAATTTTAACAGTTTTTTTATTGTTGACTATTTTGTAGAAAGTGCCTGTGCGTATGAGAGTATTTGCAAAGACCAGTTTCAGGTTCCAACTTGTTTGGATGCTSGCATTGAAACAAATCGCAATGGGRGGCGCATTAGACTCTTTTATGAATCAGTAGTTTTATTCGATTTTTACACAGACTTTAGGAAATCGCATTGAAGACGTATTTTCAATTAGGCCTAGAAGAAGCCTTTTTTCGACGACCTTTTTAGCTTTTTTCGGTTTTAATGTACGCAAATTTGGACTGCAATTTTTTGTTMGCTTCAAACCTTTATCTAATCGTGAGTTCAAAGGCGAAAAGACGATTTTCCGGGCAAAATACTTTGMATTTTTGCTTTTCAGATCAACTCGAAAAGCAGTCAAAGTCCAAAAATGTATTTTATTCTGAAAACAGTTCCATTTTTTGTGGTATTTTGTTGAAATCCAATAATTTTCTCTAAAACTTACTTGTTGCGAAATTAATATAACTTGAAATTTATGAAGATTTTGGTGTCGAATAGAGGATTTTCCAAACAAAGTGTTCAGTCAAAAAATTCCAAATACATTTAACACCCGAGTTTTTAGCTCTGAAAATTTTTCTTTTTACTCTCTCGGTATCAGCCCGATGTGGCACTCAGCACTTGGTTCGAACTATGTGATTTTCTATAAAAACTGTCTTTGAGAAAAGTAAAATCGATTGGAAATCTCGAAAGTTATGAAAGTTTGAAGATCGGCTATACAATTTTAAAGCCAAAAATATTTTGAATTTTTACAATGTACAAATGTCGAAAAAATGTTCTCTTTTGTTTTCATACTTTAGGCAAACTTCAGATGCATTTAAGGGCCAATAATGCATTTTTGGGCAAGAAACTCGCAATGTTTTCGCGAAAATTGTTCGCAAGTATTTTTGGATAAAGATTATTTTTTGCTGTGTGACCTCAATGTGACTTATAGTCGATTGGCAATTGCGCCAGTAGTGCTTAGAGTGAACTTGAACAAAATTCTTGTAAACATACTGAGGGACGGATTTTTTAAAATCTCTTGAACGTGACTGTCACTAAATCACATTAGCTCTCTCAAAAACCTGAAACTCCCGGAGCCAGATTAGCAAGCGACTTTAAACTAGTTCACCATGAATACGATTTGTTGGACTACCTTGCAACCGAATTTCCTCTAAATCCACCCAAAGACTGATTTTTGAGAAGTTCCTGAACTTTACCGTTACTCAATCCCATCGAGAGCTCGTTCAACATTTTTAATGCAAAGTTCCCAGCTAGACCAAGCAGCGACTTCAAACTCCGTCACCGTGAACCCCTCCTTTTAGAGTGCCTTTCGACAAAAAATCCTTCGAATCCTGTAAGAAAGTGATTTTTTAAAATCTCTCAAACTTGACCATCGCATAATTACAGTGAGCGCTCACTAAAAAATCGAAACCCTGCAACTGCAGTAACGAGCGACTGAAAACTCCGTTACAGCGAACAAGACTTATTGAAGTACCTTTGAACCAAAACTCCTCAAAATCCAGGTAGAGACTGATTTTTGACAAGCTCCCCAATTCAACCCTCAGATGTAACGCTCGCTCAAAAAATTCAAACCTGAAAAACTCAACAAAAATGCACTGAGAATATTCAGACTTTGCAACTACTTGGCTGAAATTGAGCAACCTTTTCAGACAACGTTTCCCCATTAATCGATTCATAAATCAATTTCCATACTTTCGCAATAATTCCACATCGATTGCTCCTCTTACAGTCGA